CAAACAACAAAATTTTTGTTAAAATTATAGGTGTTAAAAACTGTGCAATACCTTCATGCCACATACACATTATGACTTTACTTGAATTGCACATATTTGTGCAAAAATTAAAGCACGCTAGCTGTCTCTTATAAAGCATCTGAGTATAGCAGCCGACGAAGATTTTGTCTTGCATTGCAGTTCAACACATACACTGACAAGTGGCTGAACGTGGAGCTCTAAAAGGTAGTTTTGGAAAATATTCTTTGAATTCATCTCTGTAAGTTTGTCATTAAGGTGTGCGGATTTTTGGTTTTAAACGCCTTGAAAAGTCTGTGAATATTAAGGTATTCCCTACTGTTCACATGGTCGGTTATTTGTTTATGATCGTCATCTGTATACTTTTTCGAATTTGGAAACTTTCCTCTCTTCTCCGTATAAACCGTATCTCCCATCGTGTAATAACCTTGGTTGACACCCGGTTGCGGGTAGTATTGGAAATGCTGACGTTCCTTCGGCGTCATCTTTGGCACAGGTTTGTCAACACTTGTGCTTTTCCTTCTAGAACTGGTAGCGGTTTTTTTGGCATCGTACTTGATCGTCCCATTTTTTTTTATAAACGCGCTGAATACTACTGCTGATAGATACTTAGAGGCCACTCAAAGTGAGACAATCATGCAGTATTTATCTGTAATATTAAATTGGACATAGGTTAAATGAAGGTTACCGCATGATGTGACAATTTTCGTATTTAACACACCAGACAAAGATCATTGCATAGTTATTAACTTCGCTCAAGGTTACCACACAATGAGGCCTTTTTCGTCTTTCGCACACACCAGATAAACGCCATTGCAAAGTTAACCTAGGGATCGCCCAAGGTCACACTCTCGTGCAATATTTATCTACAGCATTTAGCTAGGCATTGATAAAATGAAGATCACCTCCTCAAACATTCCTTTTTCGCACACCAGTCAATTTCATTTCAAGGTTAACTGCAATGATTAACTTGGTAGAGGTCAAATGAAAGTCACCACCCTATGCCACCTTCGGCTTTCAGCTACCACTCAAGGTCATTTCAAGTGCGAAAGTGGAGGGGGGAGACTCACGATCGGTAAAAGTATACTACTCACAATGTACGAATATTTCTATGCACCCTAAAAAGTTTAAAATATATAAATTTATTCATTTAGAAAGAAAAAAATTTAAATTTCTTTAAATTCTTCAACGGCAATGTTTCCTTAGTTTTTTGTTTCTTGAAAAAAAAAATATATTGTGGGAACTGCCGTAGACTTTAAAATTCTTTTATCATCCACCCAAGGTTTCACCCACATTTCTGGGGCAAAGTGAACCTTAAAAGAGATTTTTTTTGGGCTTTCTTGCAAATTACTCGACCAAGTCAGACATATCTAGGAATCTAGGTTTTTTGAAAGACTCGGTACTTATCATAGCTAAATGAGAAAGTCTATCTTGTGACATGTTAGAACGCAGGTAATTTTTTATTATCTTTAATTTTGAGAAAGATCTTTGCTACGGATACGTTGGAGAATACATTTATCAAGACATTTTTGAATAAATATTCTAAAACTGCTAAGGGGTCATTCCTGGATTAATATACAGGTACATCACAAGGTTTTCAATTTCATCATACATATCAATGGCATTAATATCCATTGGTTGTGTTGGATCTTAAAGCTTAGTTTGCAATATTTCATTTTCATATCCTTAGACATCCGAATGAATGAAGATCGTTTAAAAAGTTGAATGTGTTATTGTGATTTTTTAGCTGTTCAAAGCGCTCCTTAATTTTATTTAAGACTAGATGCAAAATTGTGCAATAAGCATTTATTTTAAATTGTCTCAGGCCATTTGTATGGTTTCATCCTCACTTTCGTAAGAAAACAGTGCCTTTTTTCTGCAGAGTCTAACTGGTGCAACTGTGGCCTCGCAATCAATGTCTTCTGCAACCATTTTAGCTTCCCTTTGGTCTGATCTAGAAATATCCAAGTATTTTTTACTTTCTTCCAACATGTTTATAATATTTGGCAACACTGCATTAGAATTTGATTGTCGTTGATGTACATGAAGAACCGTGATCATACCAACAAATACATGTTTTGTTCGTCTACACTGATAAATAAATTAAAATTTCTAATAATCCGATTTCTGGCCTCCAGATGTATGTTATCAAAACATTTCAGCCTCTTGTAGTAGCAATTCTTTTCACTTACATGAGTACTTCTTTTTTCCCCTTTATTTTTAACACAATAACTTGTTTCATCTTCTGTATAATTCTCCATTTTTACACACAATATTAAACAGCAAAACAACTGACTGGCAATAATAGTAATAAGCACGGATATAAAGAACATGCGATGGGACCTTGCTAACTACTAGATCTACTAGATTCACAATGGACTGAAATCAACTGACATTCCCCCTTTTTGCCTAGTTGGCAGAAACACTTTGTATTTTTTAAAAAGCCCAGACATTTGATATATACGGTTTATTTCGTAGGTGTAGGATTTTGTAACAAAATAAGAATGTTCTACAAAAAAAATATTTTACCAAAAGAAAAAGCGTTTTAAGCAAATGATGTATAAAGAAACAGAACAAAATATCTTATTCGACATGGTTTTGAAATTGTTCCACGCAAGTAAGACAGATAATTTTGTCATGGGTCATACACAAATATTTGTGACACTAAATGCAGTAGTACTTTGTCTTACTCTCCTTCCGACATTGTGCGTATCTTTTTCTAGTTCCAGGGGGTATTACTTGTGGTGGAACGTTCCGGCAGAAGTTCCAGCTCCTTCTAGTCGCCTTTGTCTCGCCTCAAGCGGCAAATTTTTTGCCAAAGAGTGGCGTTTCAAATGGTTATCCACCAACGACAAAGCGGTGCTCTTCAAGAACTTTTGTCTCAAGAGTTTGGAATGTGAATTTATTGGTAGTATGGATTACTTGCGCATTAATCCCAGCCATATTCATAAGTCCATAAAAAACGACCATAGACCAGCGTCTTGTTTTTTCTAGCGATGTCGTAATTTGATGATAAAAGGTCCACTGTGTCCACTTCACCCTTGGTTGAATTATAAAATGTTATAATTTTTGGTTTATTTTTATCTCCTGTTATTGGATCAATATTATCATCATGATGAAGGCTGGAAGCTAGGATGTTCTTCCCCTGTTTTGGGATGTACGAAACCAAAGTGGTATTTGCTTGATATCCAAATATACTAGATCCAACGTATGTCAATTTGCAGTTATGTAACAAATTGTCAGTCAAATTGAAACTCGTGAAATAATTGTCACAGGAGAGATTGCGTCCTTTTTGCTGATATGGGTTGAATTAACCTTTGAACTATACTTGCTGGGTCGTTTTTAATTTGAAATGGACCTTCAGGTTGCAGCCCAACGTAAATTTACAAAATTTTACATTGCCCACTTTCATTAAAATCAGTTTTGTACCACGTGTAATTAACTCGGGTTTGACCGTCGTCTTTGTTACGATATGGTTTAAAATGAATTGACGGTCAAAGCTCCCTCCATTATGTGCTAGGACCACCACTTGCTTAAATAATTTTCTTTGATTTAGCAGAACCTCTAGGAATATTGTAATTGGGTCCTCTTCAACACCTGTAAGCGGACACCACACTTTTTGCAAGTATTTTCCTGTTTTGTTTCTAGATTGTAAAAAATGAAAAGCAACTCGTCAGTTTCAGGTTTTCTTGTGTCAGGTTGTATGAAAGATAGGTGACCTTGGGGTACATGGGTGTTACATATTTTGCAGAATATTACTTCGTTATTTCAACCGCTGATTGTTGCAACAACTGCCGTAATCGTGATGTGCTGCTCTTCGACGCTATTCCTTTTCTCTGTTTCTCCCCGCGGTTCGAAGACCCACCAGATTTTTTAGAAGTTGCCAGCTTCTTAACCGGCGAAGAGTACCAAGATGTCACTGATGGGGGACAAAGCCATGACTGTTGAACTCCATGTCCGATAGTGCCCTTGACAGTCGGGTGAACTTTGTTACAATATGGTTTGAAATGAATTGATGGTTCAAAGTTTTCTGTTTGTTTTCACGGTTTTTAGGCATTTGTCGTAACAATTAATTTGCTCACAAACCGTATCCTGCCCAGGGGAACAAGCTTTTCTATGATTTTCGTAGCAGTATAGACCTCTGAAGCGTCTGTGATCATTTTTATTGTTGTAAGGTACATAACAAAACATCTATCGCAGTAGTAACCATAACAAATTCCTGAGTCAAAGAAATGATTACGTTGTAGTGACCCTCATGGTGGAGTAAATTAAGTACAGGTCTTTCATCCCACCACCACAGAATATCACTTCGCGACCTTTATTTCCATAACCATAAACTATGATTTTATAGTTGGCAAGATGTCTTTAGAATACCCGCAGCTCTGGTATACCAAGCTCCCTCATTTGGGGTCATACCTAGCATTTTGACAGCTCCAAAGCTCTTTGCTGCTGCATGTTCCTTATATCTCTACGCACTCTTTTATACTCCGCATCTTTGTCGATGTAACTCTTTGCAACCGCTAACGCTCGAAGTAAACACATTTTATCGTTGTTATTAATAGAAACAATTCCTTTACGCATACCGCATTCTTCTTCAAAAGTATTGAATTTACGTGCTCGACCTATTCTGACGGGCATCTTCACGGCAGAAAGTCTCCGTGTTGAGCCCCGATGAGTTTGATTGATAGACGTTACTTATTACATTACATACATCATATGTAACATGTTGCACAGGTCTAAAACGGACCCAATTCGCATCTCGTTCAAAATCTTTAGAGCAGAAGGAAAACGCTACTTGATCCTTTGCATCGAGGCCTCCTGTACCTTTAGCAATGACCTGGTTGATAGCATCCTTGATCCAGCCTACGGGTGCTTTTCCAGCCGTTACGGGTTTTAATTTAAATTCCAAAGTCCATCCCACCAAGCTGAAGCGGCGCACCTTCTCGAGTACATCTTTGACAATAATAATTTTTTCCATTTTCTCAGTAGTTGACCTCAAACGTCTTCTTACTACAAATTGTTGTTGTAAACTGGTGCTGCTGTAGAACGTTCTTATTTATAACCTCTGGATATTTCGATGAAATCTGAAAACGGAAGAGGCTGATTAGTAATGTAAATTTAAAAAGCAACGACTCGATAAATACAAAAATGATCTTTTCCTATCAGATTATCCTGTTTAAAATGAAAAGCAATTCTCAGAACAACAGCTTTTGGAAAATGGCACTATAACTAAATATGTCTTTTTCTTAAATGGGGAAATATCCTTCAAATCACACAACTATACTAGTAATAATACATACGACATTCAACAAGAGACTAACGTTTCTAATTCAAGGGTTTCTATTTATACCTACATCCTATATTTCCAAGAGACCCCTTGGAACTAATAATTTGCCCGTTATTTCCATAAAAACAATGCATTATTTTCAAATTTAAGCTGTTTGAAACAGTTTTCCATTTAAATAGATGTATATGTGTAACAATAATACACCCCGTGTACGTACGGGATGTCGCTTGACAGAAAACCGTAGCACAACCTTGCAACAACATTTAGCAAGTGGTTGTATTTTTGTGTCAGATTATGAAATGCAATTTCCAAATCGCAATTTTTTTGTCTATTTCAAAATAATTAAGGTGAAAATTTCGCTTGGAAAACCAGAATCGTGACATGTACCTTCTTGCCATGCTTGTCTCGGACGTGCCGCAAAAGATTCCATCTTGTTTTATAACATTTGTCGCACTCACTGCATTTAAATTTTTTGTCTAGAAAGAAAATCATGTTAATTTGTTTCTACACTTCTACTCTTACAAATAAAAAATTATGTTTTTAAACTGAACGACTTGGAATACTGAACGTTCTGTATAATGATAATGTCTCCTTCATTCTTTGATTTTCTTCTCTTAGCTTCCTATTTTCCTCCTCCAGGGAGTTTATTCTTTCTGTATTTTGTTCAAGTAATTATTCAGTTTGTAGTACGTACCTTCCTATTATGGGTTTCTCGTTTATGTCGTGCCAAATTGGGCCTATTGGAATACGCCTTTTGGCAGATGACACATTCAAATTTCTCTAGAAAGAAAATCATGGTGTTAATTTGTTTCTATGCTTCTACTCTTGCAAATAAAAAATTATGTTTTTGAACTGAACGACTTGGAATACTGAACGTTCTGTATTTTTCTTTCAAAAATTGAAGAACGATGAAAAAAATTCGGCGAGATCACAATATTTCTAAAGAAAACGTCTGTATAAATAAGTAATCGTTGATAGAATCGAATGTGGTACCTACATAGGTATATTCATTATATCGGTAACAAACTGTACTATAAAAATACATCAAAATTCTAAACCCTAAAGGGTTCAAGTTGCCTCTATCGATTTATCATAACTTTTTCAAAGTTTTTTTTAAGAAATGTTTCGGTTTCAAATTCCAATGTATTATTTTTAATTTTCATAAATTTTACAAGTTAAATTTTTCTTGCCGAACGACGTAAGTACGTCATTTGAGTTCTACGATAAGCTTTTGGGTGCAAAGGTTATGGGGTTTTTTCATCCCGAGATGACGGTGATGAAATTTTTTTTGGCGATATTGTAATACTTGCAATGTTTAAATCATCAGTGCAATGGGCACATTTAATCATTATGTTATTTATGTATTGCAATATCATACACAATTTTCTTCGACACACACACATCCCTGTCGATTCAGAAGTTATCAAGTCTATAGAAGATAGCCATATAAAATTAAAAATGTTTTTTTTTTATTTTTGTTCAGCTTCCGCGCCAATTCTGCAAGGGAAATCAAATCGTCATCACTGCAATTATTTTCTCCGTTATCGTCTGCTGTATCGTCTTTAGCGTCTGCGACATTATCGTGGAAGGTTATGATTATTATTTGATTCAAAAGTAGGACCTGGAACATCTTCAGCGTCATTGCTACAACGGAAGGTATATTTTCAAAGAATGTACTCATGTAATCCTCATAAGGCATATTTTATAAGTCACAAAACCTCCATTTGTTGTCTACAATAAAATATATTTTCAGAACTTCAAGGGATGTTTATTGGGGTGTCAATTGACACCACCTAATTTTGAGTAAAAAAACGTATGTAACACACCAGCGAGGGTTACTTTTACACGGAACATAATTATAATGGACAATATTTACAGAAAACTTTACTTACCAGTCATTCTCATCAAATTTTTAATAAACAATGTACACCGTAAATATTTCATGCACGGACAACAATCAACAATGATTTTTATTGACCTCTTCAAGTGGCTGGTTTAGCGATTCACGCCTTCTGTCAAAAATGCTTTTTACTACTTCCTCCCGGAATTGGGTTCTGCTAATAGATTTTCCAGTCATAGATTCATAACCTATTTGAGCATTGACAATTGTGGTATTTGTGAGGATTTCAATGGCGACTTTCCTGTACCACTTGATTCCACCATTTGGTCCGACACATCTATAAATGATTAGATACCATTATACCTTACGATTGTAGAAGGCTTTTGTACCACGCCTCGTTTTGTTTGTACATCGACCATTTGAGGAATTTCTTCAGTGATCAAAAAGTGATCCAACAATCACGTGAGTATTACTCTCGCGTGTAACCATAGGACCCTTTTCCAATTTTGCTTCAGTTACTGGTTTAGGATTAAATTTTTTATTTCGTCGCAATGTTCCCACTGAATGGGTTTTCCTTTCCAATAAATCGTGTGCTAACCCAACGCTGGTATAAAAGTTGTCTGTGCATAACACTCGTCCGGAATCTAAGAGGGGTTGCATTAGCGTCAGAGCAATGCGATTAGCAACAGGCTGCTCGTTGGGAACTTCTTTTCTTCCTGTATATACTTGTAGATTGTATGTATACCCTTTCTCTGTACAAAGCTTGTATTGCTTTACACCATACTTGTGGCGTTTTCCAGGTATATATTGTCGAAAGCTGAGATGACCTCTGAACGGTATCATCGTCTCGTCTATACAAACATCCCTGTCCACTACACAAGCTGCTTGAAATTGATCAATCAGCGTGTTTTTTTGTATTTTATACTATCTGGAACTGTTATCGTCTTCTTCGTTGTTTGCAAAATGTAGATTGCATAAAATCATTTCGAATCGCATTCTTGACATGCCTACATAGTTGCCGATATTGTTTTTGTACAGAATATTTCTACTGAAGTAGTCTTTTAGTCTAGGCCAGGGGTGTCCAACATAATTTTGTGGAGGGCCAGGTTTAGTATTTTTGTAACCGTAGCGGGCCAAAAGAAATGCCCAATAGCGAAGGTTTAACTTTAAGTAATCACTCTACCTACTAGGTATTAAAATATAAAAATAAAGTACAATGATAATTTTCATTTTCCATGTATTAAAAAATAAAGCCTTAGTTTTACTAATTATCCTAATGAGATGATTGACATCTTTTTTGCTTGCACAGTGTATCTACGTCCGCTGATATTTTAGAAGTGGCTATGCGCAGAATGCCTGTAAGATGGCTGTCTGTTAAGGATGATCTGGTTTTTGATTTATTATATTTCATGCGTGAAAAAAGCTGTTCGCAAGTGTATGTACTGCGAAATAAGGAAATTTGTTGAAGAGCTAATTTGATAAGGTTTGGATATTGATTGGGGCTAATATACTTTTTGTAAAATTCAATCAATCCATTTGGAAGGCAATCATTGTATGCCGCTTTTAGAAGAGAGTTGCTTTGTATTTCAATCAATTCCAAATGTAGGTTTAGTCCGGCGCTTTCAATTTCAACATCAAACGGATTTTGGAAGACTTTCATGTTGGGCATTTGTGATTTGAAGTCTTCGAATCTCACATCAAACTCATTCCTTAATCTTTGCAATAATGACGCGTACTTGGTCAAGTCCAATGTCTCTTGATTTCTGGAAGATAAGGTCTCCCAATGAATCAACTGCTTTTGTTCCAGCTGTTTCTCCAATAATATGAGCTTCTTAGTGAAAGCTTGAACATGTTCATACATCTGCGAGCATAGTTGATCTTTTCCTTGCAGTTTTAGGTTGAGATCAGAGAGATACTTATTTATATCAACCAGGAAAGCCAAATCAGCCAACCACTGCTCATCCGTTAGAAAACTAATTTGTTGGCCTTTATTTTCAAGAAAAATCTTTACTTCATCGAGCAACAAATAGAATCGCTTCAGTGTGGCTGCTCTGCTGAGCCAGCGAACGCGACTAAAGTACACGATGTCTTCGTGATCTGAACCCACATCAGACAGAAATGCTTGGAACTGTCTGTGATTCAGGCCTCTTGCGCGTATAAAATTGACTGTCTGCACTACTTTATCCATCACGGGTTTCAGTTCGAGTACTTTTGCACACAACTGTTCTTGGTGTATAATACAATGATGCTGTATGATTGTGTGTGTGATGCTATTGCGCATTAGAGCCACAAAACCATTCGCTCTTCCTGTCATTGCTGGTGCACCATCTGTAGTCAAGCCGCAAAGATTTTCGATTTGAAGTTCATATTTTTCTATGCAACTCTTTACTTCGTAGATGTCTTTTCCTGTGGTTGTATCTTTCATCGAACGCAAATCAAGTAATTCCTCAATCACAGCATAGTCTTCTGTCACTCCTCTCACGAATACTGCCAACTGCGCTGTATCACACATATCAGTACTTTCGTCGAGAGCAAAACTATAGAAAACGCATTTCTTTAGTTGTGTTTTTAGAGAGGATTCGATATCTTTGGCCAAGTCATCAATTCTTCTTGCTATGGTTTGATGTGACAAGCTTGTATTTTTAACTAGTGTTTTATGCTCCGGACATGCTACCGACGTAAATATCTCCAAGCATTCCTTGACAAATTGTCCGTCCGATAAGGGTTTACTTCGCTTTGCAATGGCTTCTGCTATCATGAAGCTAATTTTTGTAACTGTCTCGGAGTTTTCTTTTGGTATTTTGAACATCGCCTGTTGACCGGTCATATTTTTCTTTAACGAATTTACACGATCGATTCGAATTTGACCTTTGTATTCATCGTATTTAGAAGCGTGTTTTGTAGAGTAATGACGCTTAATATTGTACTCCTTGCAAACTGATATTTTGTAATGACATATGAGGCACAGTATGTTCCCATTTTGTTCTATAACAAAATAGGTTTCAGTCCAACTATTTTTAAATATTCGACATTCCGTGTCAACTTTACGTTTTTTTTCTGATGACATCCTGATTTAAAACAAACATAAAACAACACTATGTCTACCAGCTTCGGTGGCTTGCATGTTGTTCGTAATCTCAAACAATGTTAAACAAAAGTCAATCGTAATTAAACACATATATTTTTAGTTAGAAACAAATTACTTACCTTATTTTACCACTTTTACTCGAAGAAACTTCATTAGCAACCTAATGATACAGGTAAGTATGTAAAGCAGTGCAACACGATCACGGTCGAACTGAAGACAAAAAATACTACTGTCTTAGATAAGCTTCGCCTTCTGACTAACTGTGCGCGCGCTCAGCGCGAATTGCGTGCCGCGGAGAGCGGTAAGAGCGGGGAGCATCTTAATAAAGTTAATGTTTGCAACATTAAAATCAACACTAACCTAAAAACTAACAATATTTCTTCAGTTTAGTTTTTGCATTGCTACAAAACACAAACTTTATTCAATTTCACCTGCATCAGTGATATGCTACATGAGGCACAGTCATGTTCAGGCCCGTTACTGTGTTTAGATGTGTGTAAATCAATGCAGAAGTGATTATTTGTTGACGGGCCGACGCGGTGAACAAAACTCATATAACATTTAAAACACAATATTTGCTAATTTTCAGAATCAGAGTCAACGTACACCATTGAGACGAAAAAACAGTAAAGTAGTGGGTTTCCTAATATGTCTAAAACTTGCACGGATTCCACTTTTTGACTTCGAAAAGCCAGAGTCAACGCACACAATTGAAACAAGAAAACAGTAAAGTAGTGGGTTTTCTAATCTGTCTAAAACTTGTACGGATTTTTAACTTGAATCCATGGCTTTGCAATCATCCGTGACATCCTCAACGACCCCTTCGTCTCCTGATTCACGACCATTTCCAGCGCTCCATGTAAGGAAATGAAAATGTAATTAATTCTGATCATGAAAAAGGGAAAAAATGAATATAAATATTAAATATAAAATACTAGGACAATTATTACCTCCCGCTCAAATTCAGCTAGTCTATAGTCAATAAATATTTCATGGTTGGGAAACCTTTGCATTGAAAATAAAAACTTATCCTGAAAATGGAACTCCCTCCACTTTTTATACCTATTATTTCTTTTCAACTAGCTGTCTTCATTACCTTGATTGTTACACAATAAGATTTAAAACATTTTAACAAATAATTTCGTTTCTGTAAAATGTACTGAATGTTAAAATTCACTGATAGATATATTTTTCAAAATAATTTACAAATTGTTTAGTTTTTAATAAAAAATATATTTTTTATTATATTCACAACAATCATCTCTTGATTCTACTTAACAAGTTTTGTCAGTCAGTTTGTTAAAACAAATGTATATGCTTCATTATTCATATTCAAGTTCTATTGCCCCAATCTCTTCCTGCAACACCCGCATCTGGTCTCGTTTAACGGCGAGTGTACGGGAGCAAATGGGATTGCTTCTCCTTCCACTTGGGGTGTTACCGTCAAGGTTACCGCCATTTCCTGGGGAATTATGGATACAAGTACATCGTCAAATGTTGATATAGTTTCCTGGGGGCGGTGACTGGAGTGGTGGAGCTTCATCTTGTGGCACCGTTACTTCAACCGCTGGTTGTTGCAGCAACTCCCGTAATCGTGATGTACTGCCCTTCGACGCTATTCCTTTTCTCTGGTTCTCCCCGCGGTTCGAAGACCCACCAGATTTATTAGAAGCCGTCTTCTACCAAGATGTCACTGATGGGGGGACAAAGCCATGACTGTGTTGAACTCCATGTCCGATAGTGCCCTTGACAGAATGTCGTCGGGTGGTATTATGGTATCCATAGCACTATTTCCAGTCGTCTTTGTTACAATATGGTTTAAAATTAATTGATGGTTCAAAGTTTTGTTTGTTTTCACGGTTTTTACGCATTTGTCGCAAAAAGTAATTTGTTCACAAACCGTACTCTGCCCGAGGGAACCAGCTTTTCTGTGATTTTCGTAGCAGTATTGACCTCTGAAGCATTTGTGATCATTTTTATTGTTGTAAGGTATTTCTCGCAGTAATAACCATAACAAAAGGCTGAGGTCAAAGAAATGATTACGTTGTAGTGACCCTACTGGTGGAATAAATTAAGTGCAGGTATTTCACCACCACCACCACAAAATATCACTTCACCTCCTTTATTTCCATAACCATAAACTAGGATTTTATAGTCGGCAAGATATCTTTAGAATACCTGCAGCTCTGGTATACCACCTCTCTCTCAGTAGAAATCGTCACACTAGCATTGTGACAACGCTCCGCAGCTCTTTGCTGGTGCATGTTCCTTATATCTCTACGCACTCTTTTATACTCCGCATCTTTGTCGATGTAACTCTTTGCAACCGTTAACGCTTCAAGTAAACACAATTTATCCTTGTTATTAATGGAAACAGTTTCTTTACGCATGCCGCATTCTTCTTCAAACGTATTGAATTTACGTGCTCGACGTCTTCCCATAGGCGTCTTCACGGGTGTCAGTCCCAGGCAGAAAGTCTCCGTGTTGAGCCCCGATGAGTTTGATTGATAGACTTATTACATTCTATACATCATATGTAACATGTTGTACAGGTCTAAAACGAACCCAATTCGCACCTCGTTCCAAATCTTTAGAGCAGAAGGAAAACGCTACTTGATCCTTTGCATCGAGCCCTTTTGTACCTTTAGTAATGATCTGGTTCATAGCATCCTTGATCCACCCTTTTCCAGCAGCTACGGGTTAAATTTTAAATTCCAAAGTCCGTCCCACCATGTTGAAGCGGCGCGCCTTCTTCAGTACGTCTTTGATAATAATAATTTTTTCCATTTTCTCAGTAGTTGACCTCAAACGTCTTCTCGCTACAAATTGTTGTAAACTACTGTAGAACGTTCTTATTTATAACCTCTGGATATTTCCATGAAATCTGAAAACAAAGGGGCTGATTAGTAATGTAAATTTAAAAAGTAACGACTCGATAAATACAAAAATGAATATAACTAAAGTTAAGTACCTTTTGTTATCTGATTATCCTGTTTCAAATTATTCAAATCACACTACTATACCAGTAATAATACATACTACGTTCAACAATAGATTAAACGTTTTTAATTCTAGGGTTTCTATTTATACCTACAGGTGACATGAAACATTTCTATATTTCGTTATTTACATAAAAACAATGCATTATTTTCAAATTTAGGCGGTTTGAAACAGTTTTCCATTTAAATCAGAGATTACAGTTCTCAAACAGTATAACGTTCGCTTATCCGTAGTCAAAACTTAACTGCCCCGGTAGCCGGCGATGCGTCGTATTTATACGAGTTACCATACGACATATGAGGCACAGTATGTTCCCATTTTGTTCTATAACAAAATAGGTTTCAGTCCAACTATTTTTAAATATTCGACATTCCGTGTCAACTTTACGTTTTTTTNTCTTCTAGAATACTTTTATCGCTGCTTATTCCGCTCTCTTCATCAGGGACATATTCCGATTCATCAGACCTTACAAACGGCCTCCTCTGAATCACTTAAGTACTTCAGAGCTTCTTCTTCAACCTCTTTTTGGGTAAGTATACGACGACTCATTTTTCTGCAATGTAGAAATAATACTACTGCTGGGACATTTTTAATCTCAACAAATTTACTAATGGGACAAAAAAGTCCCACTAGAATAAATTATCAGATAGTGATGAAATTACGTATACATTTTTTGTACTATTACTTACCTAACAATCTTTCAACTTTTAGTAGCTCTGTACACTTTATCAAAAAATACCACTATTTTTACAGTAATTAGCAGCAAACACGGCTCTCACTACCTAAACACCAGAACTGTACAACCTTAGGTTAGGTTATTAGATACGTAACGTTGCCAGATCGTAACACGGACTATAAATTACTGATATTTACAATTTACATGTTATTTTGGGAAGTTTTAATCCCGATAGTAAAGATGATTCGTACTATGGGACATATAGGTCCCCACAGTAGCGAAAGGGTTAAATCAAGGGAAGTATAATATTCCCGGCTCGTTAAACCTACTTATGAATATAAATGTAATTATTCAAATTTCCTAATTCTGGTAAATAATGCACCTAAATATACAATTAATCCTCAATCCTTATAATATTATTTAAAATGTAATTTAATGATCTAACAGCCTAATTCTAAACAGATATTTTTCTCATTTAATTGTGTTTTTAATATGTATTTTACTCACACTGGAAAACATCTTTTCTTAAATAGGTACTTTCTTTGCGCATTCTAAACAGATTGGTTTTTGGCATTGCGTCGAAGAGTTTATCTATTCCAGGTGTGTTTGTAATCACTGTTGTCTTACCTTTTCGAGGACCTCTTTGTATTGTCTTTTTAGGACATGCTTTTTGATATGGCCTAATTTGTTCGGGAGAGACCATTTCCGAGGAACGCGATGTAGATGACATGGTATCCGTACAAGACGATGGCAACGCGGGTGGCTGTGGAAGATTTGCACCTGATTGAACTAAAGCCGGATCTGGCCTGTCTGACACAGAAAGATAAAAGTCATCATCCGTAAAAATATTTCTATTGAATGGATGAATACCAGTTGTTAAAAAAGCTATAATAATATCCAATGAAAAAGCATGAACAAATACTAACCGCACTATCGGTGGAATAGTGGTAGGTGTACAGTGTTGCCATTTCGTAACCTTACAATTTTTCATTTCATGCGATTTTGAACTTATGAGAAATATCCGTTTCAAACCCCGCCCATTTTATTGCGGATCTCCCCTACC